GGTGCCCTTGACCGGAATCGAACCCAGGACCTTTCAGTCCGCAGGCCAATGCTCTATCCACTGAGCCACACCGGCTAGTGCCACTTTTTTACTTTATTATTATTATTATTATTATTATTACTATTACTATTATTTTAGAGGGAGAGGAAGGAAGAGAGAGACAGAGGCCTATCCATCTGTTGCTCCACTTATGTATTCGTTGGTTGATTCTTGTATGTGCCCTGACCGGAGAGCAAACCCACAACCTTGGCTTATGGGATGACACTAACCACCACCTGAACTCTGAGCTCTCTATTCTCTTTCCAACACCTGTTTGTCTTCTCTGTGCCTGTACAACCAGGTCTTAAACTCTGTAATCCTCTAAGAGTACTATCTGATCGGGTAGGTGTTCTTCTCCTTGTACTCTTTAGTCTTACTTCTGGTCTTTCATGCACATCTACAATCAGATCTTTGGGTTCTGTGGTGACGGGATTATATTGAATTTATGTATTGACCTGGGTAGAATTGTTGGTTTTATATTATCAAATCCTTCACTAATAGACCTTGGTTTTAATACTATCATTTTCTCCATATAGATCACGTGTATTTTGTCATTCTTCACCAAACTGTTCCTCAGGGATACCAGGCTCAGTGTGTTCAGCCCTGTCCGGGAGTGCTCACTGTCCCCGAGTCTGTCCCCACTGGTCAGTCCCTGGCTTCTCAGCACCGTCCACTCATGCTCTGTAGTGCCCCTCCCCTTTCTCTGTGGCAGATTATGATGGTGCCAGTGGGACTCATATCGAGGGCACCTCCATTGGGAAACCCCGATTTTCCCTTCACAGTATTAGCCAAACCAAGAGGGAAGGACACAGAACTCAAGACTGCCATGTGCGCCCAGGCCTCCTGACGCCAGAGACAAGTTCAAGGATTTCCCAAAACTACTCTCAGGTTCAAAGATTTGCTAGAAAGACTCAGAAAACTCCCTGAAACCCATTGTACTCACTATCATATTTAAGAGGACACAGATTAGAAGAGATGAGGAATGTGGGGCTGAAAGTGTTCCAAACACGAAGATTCTGTGTCCTTGGCAACTCCTCAGCCAGCATCTGTGTAGGGCGGCATGAGCACAGGGTGTAGCCCACTCGCACACTCCAAGACTCAGTGTCCAGATTTCCACTGAGGTGTCACTGCACCTTTGCTAGTGGGACTCAATCTCCAGCCCTCCTTTCCTTCCCAAAGGTCCAGTTGATGATACCTTGTGGCTCTGAGCCCCAACTTTCTAATCACAAGGTTGGTCTTTGTGATGTGGCCAGGCCTTACTCCGAGTCATCTCCTTACATTAGGGGCCCATAGTGCATTATCTGTTGTCGTAAACCAAGCATGTCAAACGTTTAAATAAAGGAGGCATGCAGCCTGCTGGCTGGGACTTTGACATACTTGTCAGAAACTATGGTACGTTCCCAGGGGCCTTCCAGGAATAACCAAGACACGCCTGTCACTCTGGAAATACCCAGAATTTAGAGGTTACATCCTTGGAGTTGGGACAAAGACCACACTTTTCTGTGGGGGGAGTAGATCTTGTACTATGCACTTCCTGTCTTCCATCAGGGTGGCATTAGCTGTCCTTTCCGAGTGTTCAAGTAGCAGCGTGGGCTGTCCTTGCTCCGAGGAAACTTGGAACACACATCATTATTCGGTACAGCCGCGTCCTGTCTGTAGTTGTGGCTGTGTCTCCACTCCAGACACTCTGTCCTCTCATCCAGGCAGGCTCGTGGTGTCTCCAGTCCAGGGACCAGGAGCGAGATCACAGGCCTGGGCGTCAGAGGCAGCAAAGCACAGCAGACACGGGCACTGTTTCCATTTCCATGTTTTCACTGAAATGCTGGTTTTGTTTCTTCGGGGTTGACATGACTAACAGGCCTTTCTGTGTATTGGATTTCTTCAGGTGACAAAGAAAAATTCAAGACCACAGAATCTACCGCTTGTGAGCCCGCCCTGTCCGAGAGATTCTCAGTCCAGGAACAACTAACACAGAAAGTTCCAGCGGACTTCCAGGGAGACCAAGCCAAGGATCAGCGCGGCCCGTCACAAGTGTCCCTGCAGGAAGGACACGTGAGACCAGGGATAGACCCTCCGAGGGAGAGGCTCCCTGGGAGCCCTGAACATGGCGGCTCCGGGACACCTGATGGTGCGTGTGTGAGGACTGTGCAGGAGCCAGCTCCTCCGGGCGGTGCTGTCCTTCACCATGGCTCACATGAATTACGTAAAGATCCCATGATTCAAGAAGAGGAAAATACCTTTAAATGCAATGAATGTGGGAAAGTGTTTAACAAGAAACACCTTCTTGCGGGACATGAGAAGATTCACTCTGGAGTGAAGCCCTATGAATGCACAGAGTGTGGAAAAACATTTATTAAGAGCACGCACCTCCTTCAACACCACATGATCCACACAGGGGAGAGGCCCTATGAGTGCATGGAGTGTGGGAAAGCCTTCAACCGCAAGTCCTACCTGACACAACACCAGCGGATTCACAGTGGAGAGAAGCCCTATAAGTGCAATGAATGTGGAAAGGCCTTCACCCACCGCTCCAATTTTGTCTTGCATAAGAGGAGACACACTGGAGAAAAATCCTTTGTCTGCAAAGAATGTGGGCAAGTTTTTCGACACAGGCCAGGATTTCTCCGACATCACATCGTCCACAGCAGCGAGAACCCCTATGAGTGCTTCGAGTGTGGAAAGGTCTTCAAACACAAGTCATACCTCATGTGGCACCAGCAGACTCACACTGGGGAGAAGCCCTATGAGTGCAGTGAGTGTGGGAAAGCCTTCTGTGAGAGCGCGGCCCTCATCCACCACTACGTCATCCACACGGGGGAGAAGCCCTTTGAGTGCCTCGAGTGCGGGAAGGCCTTCAACCACAGGTCGTACCTCAAGAGGCACCAGCGGATCCACACCGGGGAGAAGCCTTTTGTGTGCACGGAGTGTGACAGGGCCTTCACCCACTGCTCCACTTTCATCCTGCACAAGAGGGCCCACACTGGAGAAAAGCCTTTTGAATGCAAGGAGTGTGGCAAAGCCTTCAGCACCAGGAAAGACCTCATCCGGCACTTCAGCATCCACACTGGAGAGAAGCCCTATGAGTGCGGTGAGTGTGGGAAGGCCTTCAACCGCAGGTCAGGCCTCACGAGGCACCAGCGGATTCACAGCGGAGAGAAGCCCTATGAGTGCATGGAGTGCGGCAAATCCTTCTGCTGGAGCACTAACCTCATCCGACACGCCATCATCCACACCGGGGAGAAGCCCTATAAGTGCAGTGAGTGCGGGAAGGCCTTCAGTCGCAGCTCATCCCTCACCCAGCATCAAAGGATGCATTCTGGGAGAAACCCTGTCAGTGTCACACACGTGGAAAGGCCCTTCCCCAGTGGTCAGACTGCACTCACGCTCCGAGAGCTCCTGTTGGGGAAGGACTTTTTGAATGTAAACGCCGAGGAAAATCTTTTGCCAGAGAAAACATCCACCACAGCGTCTGACTGCACTTACCAGAGAGAGACCCCACAAGGATCTTCACTGTGAGAAAGATCATTGCTGCAGATCATCACTGTCACATGAAGACACATTTTAGAAAGTGACCCAGCCTAGAGCCTTATTCTCATCTGAGGATTTCTCTATGAGGGCATGCACCAAGGAACCCTTCGCCTCCATCTTTTTACTTAGTTTACATCGCAGTATATCTCAGGAATTTTGTTTTTTTAGTAGAGAAAATGCAATGAGACTTCTCTGTTACGCCTACAGCACTTTGTCGTGGATTACCTAGTTTACTTGGGGCAAGAGGAATGCTGTTTCAGGGGTGAAAGGCCTCGATCCTTGGTGTGTTTTGTATACATTCATTGTTGTCTAGTGTCAGGAGAGTTAGAAGTTGAGGGCAAGTATTTAAGAAAAGGATACACATATGAAAGGGCATACCAGTTAAGACTGTTAAGGCTTAGATTTTTTTAAAAATTATGTGATTTTAAGACATAAAACCTTTTTTTAAATTCCTATTTATTGTTTTATTTCTGTACTAGACTGTAAATCTTAAAATTCAGTAAAGTGATCCCTCTCTATACATTATTTGAAATTGACTTAGCTTTCCTAGTTTCTTTAACTTTTCATATAAATCTTAAGATAAGTTTGTCTATTCTTACCAAAAAAAATCTTACTCTCATTTTGTTAGAAGTTGATTTACAATGTAGGTCTGTTTGAGAATCAGCATTATGAACAAGTATATGATATGACTACATTTAATTAACAACTCTTGATTTCATTAGCATTTTATCTAGGTTTTTGTTTTTGAGTGGTAGTGGCATTGATTTTTAAATTTAAATTTTCCACGCGATCTTAGGTAGTACACAATAATGTAATTATTTTTGGAGGGGGTGTTTTTGGTAGCCTGCTAAACTCACTCATTATTAGCCATTTCTTTGGATAGAATCCTTGGGTTCTCTACCTAGAAATGTCAACTGCAACTAGTTTTATTTCTTACTTCCCAATTTGTATACCTGTTATTCTGTTATTTTCTCATTGCACTGGCAAGGGCTTCAGTATGATGTTGAATAGGAGTAGTAAGGAAGGACATCCTTGACTGGTTCCTGAGACCTAGTGGAGGGAACATTCAGTTTTTCGTCATTAAGTACCATACTAACTGTAAGTTTTCATATCAAATTTATAAAGTTTCCCTCTATTCTTAATTTGCTGAGATCTTTATTGTTATGAATAGGTATTGGGTTTTGTCAAGTGCTTTGTCTGCATCAATTGATATGATCATCCGATTTTTTTCCTCCATATCCTGTTGATACTACGGTATTGCATTGAGTATTGAATATTGAACCAGCCTTGTATTCTTGCAATAAACCCACTTGGTTGTGGAGTATAATTCTTTTTATATACCATATTAAAGCATTCCATTTGAATATATCTTGTTGAAGTTTTCTTCTAATTTCTTGAGTGATAATGATGTATAGTTCTCATTCTTCTTTGTCTTTTAAAAACTCATCTGGTTTTGGTAAGTATGGAACAATTGAGAATATATATTTCATATTGGATAAATTGTATAATTGGTCCTCTCAAGGAATTGTTGCAGGTCATCTAAATTTTCTATTTTGTTTGTAGTCCTGATTGAAATAATCTTTTAATTTTTTAATGGCAGCAGGATCTGTACTTATATCCCATTTTATTCCTGATTTTGGAAATGTGTCAATCTTCTTAGACATTTATCAATTTCATTGACCATTTTGAAGAACCTGTACTTTATACCATTGATTTCCCCATATTCTTCTTCTTCTGTTCTAATTTCTGGTGTTGTAGAATTTCCACTCAGCCAGCCCTCCTGTGGCTCTGGACGTTGTCCTTTCCCTGGATCAAGCTTAATTTGATTTGGTTGTTCGAGGCAGCAATCTCTGGTGTTAACCTATGCCGCCATCTTCGGTTCTCCCTGAAATAATCTTTTATTTTTTTAATGGCAGCAGGATCTGTACTTATATCCCATTTTATTCCTGATTTTGGAAATGTGTCAATCTTCTTAGACATTTATCAATTTCATTGACCATTTTGAAGAACCTGTACTTTATACCATTGATTTCCCCATATTCTTCTTCTTCTGTTCTAATTTCTGGTCTGTATTATATCCTTTATTCCACTTGTTTTGGTTGAATTTTGCTATTTGTATTTTTTATGTGGGTGCTGAGACTATTGTTTTAAACTTTTTTTCCTTTCCTAATGTAAATATTAAGTACAACTGAAAAACGGGGTATAACTAGTCAGCTGTCTACATACGCAGATCAAAAATACACTTGGCCCTTTAGGCAGATTTCTGCATATGAGAGGACCCACAAACTTTAAACCTGCATTATTCAAGAGTCAGCTGTTCCATAAACTTCCTTCGGGGCACTATTCTAGCTTCATTCCATAAGGTTTCATATGTTTTGATTACAACTTGTTCAGTTCTAAATATTTCTTGACTCCTTTAGCGACTTCCTCTCTGATCATGGATTATTTAGAAGTATAATGTTTTATTTCCTAATGTTGGGAGTATTTCATGCTGTGTTTTTGTTTCTGATTTCTAGTTTGTTTCCCATTTGGCCTCACTGTTTAAATTTTTGAAAGCCTGTTTTATGACCCAGGATATGGTTTATCTTCTTGAATATTCAGTTTGGCTGCTTGAAAAGAATGCCCTGTTGTCATTGGGTGGTGTTTCTATGTATGTCCAATTCTGTCATTCTTATTCAGATTTTGTATATCCTTGCTGAATTTTTTTTGTCTAGTATTTCTATCAATGGATGAAAGAGGGGCATTGAACTCCGACAGGATAATTGTAGAGTTGTCTGTTCCTCCTTTAAGTTTTATCAGTCTTAACTTCAGGTATTTCCAAGCTCTGTTGTTTGGTGCAAACATACTTAGGATCTCTATGTTGTCTTAGCGTAATGACCCTTTTATCGTTAAGTCGTATCTCATTTTTCTTCTGTTCATTCCCTTACCTTTGAAGCATGCTGTATCTAGTATTAATACAGGCAGTTCTGTGTATTTTTTTAAAATACATTTTTGTTGATTTCTCAGAGGAAGGGAGAGGGAGATAGAAACATCAGTGATGAGAATCACTAATTGGCTGCCTCCTGCATTCCCCCTACTGGGAAACAAGCCCGCAACCCGGGTGTGTGCCCTTGACTGAACCGAATCTGGGACCCTTCAGTCTGGTGGCCCATGCTCTATCCACTGAGCCACACCAACTAGGGCTTAATTTACGTTCTTTATTGTTGAAAGTATTACATACGTTTCCTTCCCCACCCCCCACCCCATAGAATGCTATGATTTATTACAGCAGAAAGGATCAGAGCAAACAGCCCAGGAAAAAGGCACGAGGACTCGAATCCAGAGACCAGGGACTGTTTTCAGTAGTCCTGCCTCGGAAGTCACACAGGACATGCTGATTGAAGCTCCACTGAGGGACAGTGACCCCGGATGGAAATGTCTGCCAGGGAAGCTCATTGGAGACTCAGGGCCCAGGGTTCTAGGCGGCACACCTGCCATACAGAATTCCAGTTCCCAGGGCAGAGCAGGTGTCGAGCATAAACCACTGTTTAGACAGAACACATGGGCACATGAACCACCACCCCTTAAGAGTCAAAACGGCTGAAGATTTGCATATACAGTGGGGCGTTGACTTACGAGTTTAATTCGTTCCATGACGGAGCTCGTAACTCAAAGTACTCGTATGTCAAATCAAAAGGGAACGAGTGAGACACGTGATGCTGGGCTGATGTTGTGGCGTTCACTGTGACGTTCGCTGCGCCAACTAGCAGTGGGGTATCTGAAGCTGTCTTCCAAAGTAGCTATACCACTTTGCACACCCACCAGCAAGGAATAAGAGATGTATTTTTCACATCGTTTTTAGAGAGAGGAAAAGAGAAACATCAATTTGTTCCACTTATGCACTCATCATCGATGTCTCCCTTTCTCGCTAAAATCAATAAAGAATTTTAAAATAACAGTTTTATTACCCGACTATTGTGGAGAGGTTCTCGGTTAGATTTTTTCTTTTAAAATTACATTTACCCAACAATTTATCCTGTTGCCTCCAAAGGAACTCAAGTTCATCGAATGTTGACACTTCTGCAAACGTCCCCCAAGTAAACAGGTGTCTGGGTGGGCGGGGAGCACAGGATGTGGGGGCAGAGGCACCAACTTCGGGGGCCCTCAGGTACCTACGTGCGTGATGACGAGGTCCTGGGAGTAGCCGAAACTGGACAGGACCTTCAAACGGGCCGTTCGGGCGCACGCGCGGTTCTGGAGTTTTCCAACTGCACAAGGTACCGCTCAAGATATCCCAGCAGCTTCCGGGGTCGCTTTACATCCCGCACGCACTTATTCCGCGCGCTCCCATTGGCTGCTTCCTGACACTTCCTCCTGCTACCTCAGCTCCCGACTCTTCAGCTCCCAGCACGTCCCGCCCCCGCCCAAGGCCCCGCCTCTTCCGGTTTCCGCGCTGCCATCTCATTGGCCCAGCGTCCTCGGTACCATCCCTGTCCCTTCTACTGGGCAGGCTGCCTGCCCCTCAGAAATGTCAACCAATGGGAACAGACAGGAAACTCCTCGCTCAGCCAATGGGGCGAGGGCGCGAACTATAAAAGGCCCGGTCAGCGCCGCCCGGGAGCCCCCCAGCCG